CCCTACAATATAATAAGAAGTAGAATAAGACAAATAAGTTACCAATCATATGAAATTAGTATTAATAAATTAATTTGTACTACAGAGGTGGCAAACAAAAGTGGCTTGTAGGTACATTTTTGGACATTTAAAGAAGCTCAGATGTAGCATGAGTGCAGTTAAATTCATAAATTCATGTGGAGATTAATGTTTTAAATATACAATTTTGAATACAGAAATATGATTTAAATGACTGAAATTATATGCTAAAATGAAACTAAATCCGCCAGCAGGTGGCGGCAAGTCACTGATTTTATCACTGAATCATTCATTCAATTGATTCGTTCGAACGGCTGAATCATTCAGGAATGAAGCAAGTGACTGTCTTTATGAACTGACGGAAATCCGTCGTAGTGACGGAACTTTAATCCCTGGTATTAACTGGTGTTCATTATAAAGATGAAAATAGTCTAAATCGCTGGGAAATAATCAATCCATCTGGAGTTTCACAGGGCCAAGTTTGCCTTGCTGAAAGCACTTGGTGTAAAAGACATTTTCAAACCCACACTGTTTAAAAAGCATTTGTTTAACTGAAAACAGGAGGAAGTGCTGCTTGGTGGCCATATGTATAAAACACTTTTCAGTTTATAACATGTTGTTTGAATGTTTTCCTGTTTCATTGGTTCCTTCTCCTAATTATTAAGTTCAAGGTATTTGTGAACTGCTTATCATCATATAATACTTTTACAGTACTCATTGTTTTGTATTGCGCTTTTGGCAATACATGTTATTCCGAAGCACCTTTAAAAAGAAAAGTGTCTTAATGCTCTCACTCAGCAAGTTTCATATAGATGACACTAGAAAATGGCTTTGGGGGAAAATGTAAACTATCTATGTGCAAAGTTCCCAACCAAAGGTCAGTTTATTCTGAATCTTGTAGAGCGTGTTTTCTGTGACAGTCTTAAGGAAGCTGCAACTATACAGTCCTAAACACCCCTACAACATGCACGTGTACCTCTACATACAGGCCAGTCATGGGGAATGCTGTGCTCGTCAAGTTTGCATGTATGTGAATGAATCAGGTCACACGAACATAGCTATTGCTCAGCCACAACATCTCTGAAAGTTTTGAAAAATTTATCCACCGATTCTCAGTGACTTCTAGAATTCTTCCTTCTTTTTAATTGGTTTCTTTTAAAAATTTTTGCTTGTCAACAAAACTGATTATGCTCTTGTGCAGGCATATGAATTATATATAAAACAACTGCAGTATTGCAGGCGAGGCATACGGCCCTGTGCGGGTGCACACTTGGCTCATTCCATGCAACGGTTCTGTATACATAGCTGCTTTGACACGGTTAACATAAAGCTATGCAACAATGCCAGAGGGAGAAATGCAATAAGACAAGCCCTAGAGCAGCAGATGTGTAAATAGTTGTTTCCGTCATGAGGGCTCCAACCTGTCTAGCCTTGATTTTGGACAAGTATTTGATGTCACAGCACATCAATGCAAAATACATTATAAAGCATAGGCTCAAAAGTTAATTTATATGAATGATCAGTTTAACTTTTCTGTATTTGTATAGTAGTCTTTGTATGAAATGTATTGAAGACAGATTAAACGTGCATATATGTGAAAGTCTCTGCACTGGAAAAACTGCAATTTCAGTTCTTTGGAATTGGAAGTGGATAGCCTTCAGTATTTGCAAATATTTACAATCCATTGTATAGCTCTTGTTACTCTCAAAAATGTCATAATTTGCTCCTCTAGAAGAATTTTTAGATTAACCTGAATCATTGCTTTATTATCTTACATTTAATTAATTAATTTATTTATTTATTTAATATTTATTAATAATAATTCATAATTAGCCTGTTTGTCAATGCCTTTTTAAATTATCAAGATTGTGACATGCCAAAACTGAAAGTCCGTAATAAACAAATATTATTATATAATATTTAATAAATTGTTAAATGTATTGTAAATAAATTGTTAATGTGTGTGTGTGTGTGTGTGTGTGTGTGCTTTTCCTCATAATGAGCCTATACATAATAAAAACATAAAATTCATCACAGGAGTAACACTGTGCTGCTTATTATGATACAATGGAGACATTCGAGATATCATTGAAAAATCTGTACTGAGACATCACAACCCTAGTTCCTGCGAACTGCAAAATAAGAAGTGGCTTTTTGATTGGACAATCAGAAGGCTTTTTATGTGCTTTCTGCCCGTCAGTCATCCTAAAAGGAAAAGGAAGCAAACGGAAAGCTAAAAGCAAATCGGACCAAAAATGACGTGAGCATCTGTAAAGGATTCATCACTGGAGTGGCTCTTGCTAACATCGCTTACAGATGTTCAGAATCACACTTCGAGTTAACCCAGTTGTGAATAATACTTAATTTAGAGACTTGTCATACTAAATTCTTTTCGACATAATTAGGGGATAATTCACTCTCTTTCAAACACTGTAAATCTATACCTATTCAGACGTGTTTACAATTAGATTATGACAGATTTATGAACGTTATGAGACAAACCCCATCCTGATGACCTATACTGACAGACCCAAACGCAATCTTCTGACTCTTTTTCATATACCTTGTGAAAAAGACACTTGTAGCAATTTTACAATATATTAAGCAATCACCACTTGTTTTAAACTGTACTCTGTAGTAGGTGATACCCAGAGATTATTCATTTACATAAATTTGTGAACATAAAACAACGTCATGAAGAACCACAACACAAGTGAACTGTTCTTAACCACTGGACTGAGTTATCATAATCAGGGCGTTATGTAAAGGACTCTAACTTTGTAAAGGATACAGTTTCACATAATTGTTTAATAGACATGCACACAGGCAAACATGCATATCAGTATATCTAATGACATTTTTTCTTGTCTCCCTACAGGTCAAAATGAGTTGGATCCACAGCATTCAGATCAAGTCACTAGACAGAATCGCATACAGCAGCTTGAGTACAACTATTCAGTCTGTGCAAAGGTAAATGCTTAAATGTATCATAAAGAGGTCGTCACATGGAAGAGAAGTGAAGAAAACTGTTTTTCATGGTTTGTTTATGTCTGTGTGTTTATAGAAACGCATGCAGCTCCTTCAAGAGGCCGTGTGCGCTCTGGAGCTTTGCCAGTCCTGTCTTATTCTCAGAATTAAGTCCTGGAGGTGGGAACAGTACCGAGCAACCATTGGCTTGCACTTTGATGACAACCTTGGCCCTCTTCAGACATGGTGACATTTTTGTTTCAGTTGTATTACTGCACGAATGTTATCAACTAAATAAATTTTAAAGACATTTTTTTTTTCTATTTTGTGTCTGTGCAATTTTGATAAAAAATATGTGGGTCAAATTGACCCCAATAGAAATAACACAATAAAAATAGATATATTTTTATATCACATATTTTATATTTGTGATATTTATATATCACATATTTTATATTTGTAAGCCCCTGACAAGCTACAATAGAGGTTTCTACTAAATATTGAGTTTTTACATTAATCTGTAGTGTTTTTCATGTCAATTTATGGCAAATTGCATGGAAACCATTGTGAGCAATTTGACCCCTAGCACAAAAGTTGTTTTTGAACACAAGAGGAGAGTTAAAATATGTTGTTATCAGATCCTGTTGCTTTCTTTAAAAAAAAACTCAACAGGCTTGTCTTCATGGTTTGAGTGTTTGGTTTGTGCCTCTTGAATTTCAGCAGATTGACAGACAATAATTCACCACACAATACACATTGTGTACATTGCAGCACTAACTTTGTTTATCCTTTCTGCAAGTGCACTCGTATTTAATGTACTGTGGATCATATTTTCTCCTGCTTGGACTGCTTTTATTCAAATTTTTGATGTCACGCATGTCATACAACCTTTTGGAATCTGCGCTATTTGGCCTAAATGTCTTCCACATTCTCTTTTTTTTTTTTTTTTAACTTTTTCGGGGGCAGGTGTGAGCAGTTGCTTGGAGTAAATAGTAACCTGAGGCAGGAGCTCATGTTGGTGAAGAGAGACCACGGAGGGGTTGAGCAGTTTCACACGTTGCAGGAAAGCCTGGCACATCTGCTCCAGACTCTCATACAGAAGTATGCAGGCCTCTTTCAGATCTGAGAAAGATAAGATTGCAACGTACTTAGTCATCGTGCAATCACAACAGATGATTATGCAATCATGTGAAAAATGTCAGTGCTTTTTCTTCTGGCTTTTGATATTGTACTTTTTTTTGTCTTGGCAACTCAGTTCATTGGTAGTAGATAAGCAGCCTCCCCAGGTCATCAAAACCCAATCCAAGTTTTCCACCACTGTACGCTATCTGCTGGGAGAGAAGATGGCCCCTGGGAAACCTGTCCTGTTGAAGGCTCAGATTATTACTGAGGCTCAAGCGAGACAAGGTGTTGTACCCAAGTAAGCATGCTGTCTTTTTTTAAATACACACATACAAGTCTCTATTAAGGAGCATGTTTACGGAAAAAAATACATTTTATTTATTTATTTTGTTTAAATGTTATTTTTATGTGTTTTGTTTTATTTAGTTTAAAATAAATAAGTTGTTTTATTACTGTATTTTTATTGTTCTTTTTTAAATTCATTTTGTTTATTTTATAATTAATTAGAAAATAATTTTTATAAAAAAAATTTAATTAAACAACACTTCACAATAAGGATCAAAACGGTGTTTTGCAATATGCATTAGGTATCTTGAAGTAATGAGCAGTACCTTTACAGTATTTATTAATATAAATGATTTATAATACATGTTCATTTTTACATACACTACCACATTCAGCAAGGATGCATTAAAGGGTTAGTTCACCCAAAAATTAGCCCATAAATTACTCACGCTTCCGCGTTCGTCACTTCTGAGCGGCGCAAGCGCAGCGCTGACCTCATACGTCATCCGCCCGGAACTGCTTACAGTGTACAACAGTGAGCGCAAGCTACATTAAAGTGATTATTACGTTTTGAATATGGATATTTTTCTTACAAAAACGCATCGATTCGCTACAGAAGGCCTTTGTTCACCCCCCGGAGCCGTGTGAGACGCTTTTTTTTTTATGGATGGGCGCATTTTAATGAAGTGCTTTTGGACTGATGCATGCAACACCCGCTGAGTGCCATGAAACAGCTTGAAAGATCAAAGACAATTTTTAATATAACTCCGACTGGATTCGTCTGAAAGAAGAAAGTCATATACACCTAGGATGACTTGAGGGTGAGTAATTTATGGACTAATTTTCATTTTTGGGTGAACTAACCCTTTAAATTGATCAAAAGTGAAAGTAAAGACATTTATAATGTTACAAAAGATCTAATTCAAATGAATGCTGTTCTTTTAAACTTTCTATTCATTAAATAATCCTGAAATATATCACAATTTCCACTAAAATATTTAGTAGTGCAGTTGTTTTCAACATTGATAATAATAATAATAATAAGAAGAAGAAATATTTCTCAAGCACCAAATCAGCATATTAGAATGATTTCTCTAGTGTCATGTGACATTGAAGGATGAAGTAATGGCTGCTGAAAATTCAGCTTTGTCATCACAGGAATAAATTACATTTTAAAATAAATTACAATAAAAAAAGAGTAGTTTAAAATGATAACATTTTAATCTATTTTTAAACTATTGAATGCTAGTGTATAATAATACATTTTTAACATTTCAAGATATAAATTAATGCCTTAACTTATGAACAAACTCAAATTTACAATGAACAATAGTGTATTTGTAAATAATATTAACGTAAATTAATAAATGCTGTAAAATATTGTTCATCATTAGTTCATGATGCCTTATGCATTAACTAATATTAAAGAATTGCAACTTAATGTAAAGTGCTACCATATTATTTTATAACAAGATAGTATATATAGACAGTTTTATAGACTGTCATTCACAGATGCCAAACAACTGCAAAGTGTTTTTCACTTATTATGCACTTTCAAAGGTGATGAAAATGTGAATTTATTATCTTGTAACTGATGTCGTTTTACAATTACGTGCCAAAGAAACTGAAGGTGAACAGAAAATATGTTGCTGAAACATGTTGCATGTGTGCAATATCATCTTCAATCTACAACTTAAGTGGCATTATGTTGTAATGTCACTTTTGTGCCTTTGCCGTATGTTGAAATCTGCCTGTACAAGCTGTTATACATGTCATACATTTGACAGCCTTTGTTGCTGTTCTCAGACATAAAGAGGATAAGCAACAAGACAAGCAAACAGAATCAGGGTTTCAGTTGAGCTGTTAACCATACAGTGGCAATACAACATTTTAGAGGTCTAACATACACTTATAAAATATGCAAATGTTTTATAATCATTCTCTCTCTGTTTTTGTCCACTTAGTGAAAATGTAGGAGAACTTATCAACAGCACGGCCATCTTAGAGCACAACACTGCAAGCAAGAACACATGTGCTACCTTTAGAAACATGGTGGGTCTTGTCACAAACAGTTCTTTGAGAGTGATGATTTTTGATTCACTGTAATATCTGTTGATTCATTGATCTCACTGTAACATTGATATTGCCATATTAACTTATACTATCATTTTAATAAGATGTTTTCTTCCTCTTCAGTCCATAAGGAAGATCAAACGAGCTGACAGGAAGGGCTCTGAGTCGGTGACGGAGGAAAAGTTCGCTTTGTTGTTTACCACAGAATTAACCATCACTGGCTGTGAGAGCCCTTATAGCATTCAGGTGGTTGCTCATCTTCTTTTACTAATTTATGTTAATTCAATGGATCATTTCAGATTATTATCTAGTCATCAGGACACGCACTGTAATCAAATGGATTTATATTGAAAATATTAGATTCATAAATCAGTCCCACCGTGATTTTACAGGACTTTTTTAAATGATTTTTGCCACCCAAAGTGACTGAATTTGTTGCTGTCAAAATGTGTGCCGATATGTACCAAATTTTTTGTTGTTTTTTAGTAAAAACCCACCTATAATCATGGTGTACTTATGTATTTAGTGACAGTGAGAGTACAAATTCCTGTAAATATTTTTGCAAATTTTGAAATTGTGATCTTGTTCCCCTATGGTGACACCAGCATAGAGATACTTATAATTCTGCTTTACTAAAAAATACAGAATTGTATTAGACACAATAGCTTGTGAAATCAAGCATTAAGAGGACTAATACACATTATATTCATTATTGTAAATCATTTTTTAATAGTAGCCCAGCATTAAACCTCTAGAAAGCTTCATTTTGTCCCACACAATTGAAACAAAAAAATAAACAAGGAAGTGAACAGGTTGCAAAGACAATGAACAAGTGTAGGCCATAAATCAATCATTTAGAGAAATCACTGGTAATATCACCCTCTCTGTTGCTCATTTTGGATCTTTTATTTCCTTTTAAAAAAAATGATATACACCTTGTGATGCCATGAATCAATGATTTTTTTAAAAATCACTTGAAAATATGAAATATTACCATCTCTGTTTCTCATATTGGAACTTTTATTAACACTTGTGTATAAACCTGACAATGTTTAAGTCCCAGTGTTCCGTATGGTCATTCCATCCCTGCTCACTTTACTAAGGCAGTACAGTAACAGGACAGTTGAACATGTATTGATTTATTTGTTTGGGCTCTGAATTATGGATTTTTATGAGCTAACTCCCTCTAAGATAATATATATTTTTTCCTTTTCAAATAATGCTGTTTGCGCTAAATTCTGCAATTGCAAAATCCTGGAGGGACTGATGCATAAAAAATGTCTATGTTGGTGTGTATTATGAGGTAACTAACTACAGTAACTTACTGTCTTATTCATCTTCCAGACAATCTCTCTTCCTGTGGTTGTAATTGTACATGGTAGTCAGGAAATCAATGCTATGGCGACCATCATATGGGACTGTGCCTTCTCTGAGCCTGTCAGTAACCTGGAACAACCCCATCACACGTCTTTTTCCTGTTGTCGGTCATTTTCAGTGTTTTGTAAACAAATCGACAATGTGTGCTCTGTGCTGTGATGATTTCAGAACAGGATTCCGTTCATCGTTCCAGAGCGTGTGCCCTGGAAGCAGATGTGTGAAGCTCTTAGCAGTAAGTTCATGTCTGAAGTGCAGACGCAGCAGGGCTTGGACAGATACAACTTTCACTTTCTTGCCCAGAAGACCTTCGACCAACCAGACATATCTGAAGATTTCAGCAATATGCCAGTGTCCTGGGCTCAGTTCAACAAGGTGCCACTAACATGAATTTGTTTATGTGCATGTGTTGTCTGACAGCTGACTAGTAGATTTGTTTTTTTCATCTTATTTATATTTATAGTAGCATACTGACAGTGTTTACATACTTTTGTGTCTTTAAATTCATTGCATTTGTGCCCAATTTATCAAATTTTTCCATGTCTCAAGACCCCTAAAAATATGTTTCTAGAGACCCTAGCATAATTTAGGTAACATTCACAGATGTGTTGGGTGGCGAATTGGTGTGAATGTTTTTTTCTGTTTTAACACAGGAAGTTCTGCCTGGTCGAAACTTCACCTTCTGGCAGTGGTTTGAAGGGGTGATGGATCTTACAAAGAAATGCCTGAGAGACTATTGGAGTGAAAAGTACAGTTACATTTCCTCAGTTTGTTTTTCACTTTAAAGGGGTCATATGATGCTATTTTAAAGATCATTATTTTGTGTATTTGGTGTAACAGAATATGTTGACATGCTTTAATGTTCAAAAAACACATTATTTTTCAAATACTGTACATTATTGTAGGTCCTCTATGCATAAAGAATATCTCTTTGGATTTGAGACTTTAGTCTTTGCAGCTTTACAGATCTTCTTTATGCACCAACAGCTTGTAACACTCCAAAGAGAAAGGAAAACTTGAAATCGCATCATGTGACCCCTTTAAAGAGAACTAGATAAGACCAAGTGTGAAAAGTGAAGCCAAGACGTGTCGATCACCCCCAGATGGCTGGACGCAGTATAGGTCATAAACCCCGCCCTCTCAATGTAATCTAATGTGACGTGAGACAAACTAAATAATCAAATTACACTTCAAATACATTTTTTTCCAAAGATGTTTTCCGTCATTTTAGGTAGTTCTTAGCATGTTCAAGTGTTCGTTTTTTTAATAAGTTTGCTTTTAATTAGTTATTTGATGCTATAAAAGCAGGGTGTGGCGTTATTGATTGTGATCTTGCGATTGGATCTGCGGGAGTTTAGGCGGAACTTTGATACCGCGGCTCCAGAGATGGTCCTCACTGCAGAACACAAGATCCAGGGGGCGTGGTTGGATCCACATCTAGGGAGTGGAGATTGGTAGGTTTAGGGGTGGAGATGGGTGGGTTTAGGGATCAGGGGGTGGAGACGGGTAGGTTTAGGTATATGTAAGGTGGGAGGAGTTGGATCTGAAACCAACCACGCCCCCTGGATCTTGTGTTCTGCAGTGAGGGGCTACTGCGGCTCCACCTCACGATCACTACTGCTCAGACTCGGGCTACAAATGATGTCATTTTCGCAAGATGACAGCGGCCATACTGAGAATGTTTTGGCTTCACTTTTCTAAAGTGAAAGGAAGTGGAGACGTGTCGTCCATCTTTTTTACAGTCTATGGATAAGACTAACTAGATGTCTGCCCCTCATTGGCCCTGCAGATTGATCTTTGGCTTCATTGGAAAACAGCATCTCCATGTCATCCTGCAAAACAAACCCAACGGCACCTTTCTTTTGCGCTTTAGTGATTCCGAGATTGGTGGCATCACCATCGCCTATGTGGGTCCCAGTGATAGTAAGTCTCAAAAATTCATACTAGATGATGCACTACTGTTTTAAAGTTTGGGATTGGTAAGTTTTATGTTTTTGCATAAAGCCTGTTATGCTCACCTAGGCTACATTTATTTGATAAAAAATAGAGTAGAATAGCAATAGTGTGAAATATTATTACAATTTACAGTTGGCATTAAATGATGATTCATCTATTTTCTCAGATTGTTTAGTCTGTTCAAATCCCGCCCCTGGAAGCTTGTGTTCATCTTCCTCCATTTTTGAGTGCAACTACCACATCTCAAATTCCAATCAAAAACCAATGCATAGAACCAAGTTCCCGCCCTACCTTTATTCTTTTTCGATAGACTGTTACACTTGGATGTATGTCACAATACAGAAGAAAAAAAACGGTCACTATTTCAGTTTCATTGCAACTTTAAAATAACTGTTTTCTTTTTTAATATATTTAACATTTTTATTTATTCCTGTTACGGCAAAGCTGAATTTTCAGCAGCCATTACTCCAGTATTCAGTGTCACACAATCCTTCAGAAATCATTCCAATATGCTGATTTGGTGCTCAAGGAACATTTCAGATTATTATCAATATTTAAAACAGTTGTGCTGCTTAATATTTTTGTGGAAACCATGACATTTTTTCAGGATTCTTTGATGAATAGAAAGCTCAAATAAACATTTATTTGAAATATAATTTTTTAACAATGTAAAAATACTGTCTCTTTTGAATGCTATATACAATTTTGTTTTTGTGTAACTTAAGCGTTAAGGAACAAACAAAGTTAATTTCAAAGAGCCTTTGGCGTAAATAAAGGACCTATTTTACCTAACAGATAAAAGTTTATTTTATCTGACAGATGCATATATGTCCATGTAATATAGATCAGCAAGACTAATTGAAATGTATTGATCTATTGAGGATTTGCAGTTAAATGTTTGCTCTGTGTCACTGTTTTGTTTTTCTGCTCAGACGGAGGCAGGAAAATCCAGAATATCCAACCATTCACTAAGAAGGATCTGGATTCAGCTGGCCTTGGCGACCGCATACGGGATATTAACTGCATCACTCATGTGTATCCAGACTTACCAAAGAACGAAGTATTTAAGAAATTCTTTACAGGTGTGTAACCAGATCTTTAAAAGACAATGTCTGTATACTGAGGTTTCACTAAGGGTTTTAAAAAATCAGTATATTTTAATATTTATAAAAAATGTATACAGGTGCATCTCAATAAATTAGAATGTCATGGAAAAGTTCATTTATTTCAGTAATTCAACTCAAATTGTGAAACTCGTGTATTAAATAAATCCAATGCACACAGACTTAAGTAGTTTTTTGATCAATTTAATGAACACTTGCTGAATAAAAGTATTAATTTCTTAAAAAAAAAATAAATCTTGCTGACCCAAAACGTAATGTCTTTTTATAATTAACATTTTTCTTGGCTCTGTCTGCCATCTTGAATGCTAATTTTCACTGAGCTTGTGGAGAGCATCCTGGAAGTGGCTTAACCACTGAGGGCACATGTGATAACATAGTTTGAGTTCGCTATCTTGGTAGGCAGCTCACTAGAATTCAGTATAGAGCAATAGCATCCAAGTAAATGTTTGGCTGCAATGACTATTTAATCACTGACTGTTGTGATTCTGTTGCCCTATCCCAGACTTCCTCAGTCTACACCTCCATATATGCCAGAGCAAATGCCTGGTCAAGGACCACTCTACACATCACCCATGTGAGTCACGGCCACAGTAAGGTTTCCTGAAAATCCCTAGTATATTTGATGTATCAGCATCACTTTCTGCTGACACATTCGCAAATCTGTTCTTTATTAACATTCTCAACTTTGTTTATTCTATAACAGGCCACAAGCTCCCTCAAGTGAAGAAATAGACATGGAAGCACTGGAGGGAATTTTGTCATCAATTTGTCAAAATACTAACAAAGATCTTCATTAGAGGTACAGCCTCTGTTCTTGTTGGACAAAGGCTATCAGGTGGCTTGGTGCTTTAAGGACATCCAGCACAACTCGCACATCCCAAAAGGACATATTACCCATTTGCTCCCAAAACAAGTGTATCAGTAGAAATGTACTTTTCTTACATTCATATCCATGAATCATTGGGCGGTGGGTGTCTTCATCACATGGATTGTATACAACTCAATGTCACACTCGCTTTCTCCTGCGTAAACACACTAACCGTGCAGTGTAAAGGAACAGTGTGTTCAACTTAATAATCATAGTGAATGATTGCTAGCAACTTTTTAATGAAATTTCTACGAGAAGCAGGTGAACCTTTGGTCTCATTAGTCTTATTAGCGTGAAGTACCTAAACTCGCAAGTCGTTCCGTTTCGGTCTTATGACTACTCTTGAAAGTATCATTATAACTGACAAGTGAAACAGGAAATTATTTGCTATCAGGTGATTTTATCAAGAGAGACCAAATAGATTTAACATGTTACACATTTTTGTCTGCCAGAATTTTTTTTTTCCTTTAAATTTGATGCAGAAAAACATATTCCAGTGTGGATATTTGACCATAGATTAGCGATATTTTACTCTCAATGTCCTGAATGAAATGGATTGTCTGCAGATGCAGACACAGATGTGAGCTGAAATGTATAGCATCACAGCATTCTCTTAGAAATGATAGGTTTTACTAAACTCTATGCAAATATTCATTTTGTGCCATACTCCATATAGACAGTAGTTTATTTGGTTGTTTCATTTGCATGACTTGTGCGTGATCACATATTCAACATTCAGTATTCGCATGAGTCTACAAGTTTTTTTAAATTACATATCACTAGCGAGTTTTGCTTTACTCTGCCATGTATCATTTGTTCCTCCAGTTGCACAAAATGATCTATAACTCAATTTTATCTGCAAACCTCTCTTTACATAATCAATGGGTAAAAGTCATGTAAAATACATATCATGAGCACAAAATAAGTTTTAAGGTTTTATGTCAGATGTAGACATAATACTGTGTCCACATACTCTACAGTGTTCTGTGTCACCTTTTCTGTATTTAGTCTTTAGTGCTACAAGTCGTCAACGTTCTTAAAATTGAAATGTAATATACATAGTTTCTCTACCTTAAACTGTGATTTTTGCCATCCAACAATACTGCTCTATATCATGTAAAATATAAAGCTTTCATCTTAGTGCTTTGAATATGAAAATATATCAAATGGAATGTTTTTCAAAGGTGCCATCAGTAACTGTTTGTATTTAGTCCAGTAGAGTACCACACATTTTAGTTTCTGTTGTCTATTCAGATGTTCTTTCTGTAGCACTAACTGATAATTGTGCTAGATATGAATCTGCCTGACCGATACCCGAAAATCTCACCATATTCCTGTTACTGGCCACAGAGAAGTATAAAGCACTTACGCATTTGTCTATGAAAAATGTTAAAAGTTGCCATTTTTCTTTTTTTAATACATGTGACCATATAAGAATTTTTTTAAAGAAATGTTCATATTCCCATCTTTTAAATCTGATAAAGTCAAAATCCATTAAAGACAGAGTCTCGTGCCTGAGTATTAAATAGTTAAGGATTTGTTCCGAATAAATGATTCTGTCACATTTCATAAGATTATAAAATAAAACAAGTAATTTGACAATGAATGAATGTTAGTGTTAATTGAGAGATGATAAAAATGGACAATTGTTAATGCAATTTAAGCACACTCCAGAGTCCTCATCAAACTACCAAAGAAGAGACATTCACTAACCTGAACTTATACTCGGCTATAGCTTTAAAATTAAAAAAGCAAATCTTTACAATTTACACAAGACTTTGAGCACAAAATGTCTAATTTTCATGTAAACATTGACATTTATATGTAGAAAGTCCATTTAATTAAATGTCTTCAAAAAGAGTGTGCTTACAGAGCCCAATGGTGAGGTTTGAAGATCTTTCAGGCGACTCTGGTCTCCCTTCAGTCAGATCTTGGATAGGAAGACACTATTAGGAAAGAGTGCAGAAAGGCAAAGGGTGGGTGTAGTGATCGCCTTTCATTCCATCAGATCCAAACGCTACAAGAACATAAATGTGCATTTAAATCCAGACATCCCAGTCACTCAGCAATCATCTAAATGAAGTGAAGCGTTGACTGAATTACCGTGAAAAACAGTAATGGTCATTGTATCATAATGCATCCATGTTTGGAACCAGTTCTGCTCACATTAGTGAGTTTTAAAATTTCTTTTACACAAATACTCTCTCGCCTGAGACAAAATATCATTGCTTTTGATATCTAGTTCAGCTACTTACACACAAAATAATGCCAAACCCCCTAATATAAACAGGACATCTATGCATGCAGATTTATGGCAGAAAAAGTTAAATGAAAATGCCTGAAACGGTATGAATCAGTGAAAATGTACGCCATAATACTTTTGGAAGTACTAAACACAAGTTTTGAAAATGACACGACGGGAAGAAAATTAAGTTCTTCAATCTGGTAAAGGCTAAATGTTAGGGTATAACAACTGACTTCTTGTGTTTTGTGTTTACTATTTTATATGAATGATGGTGTGACTGCTTCTTTTAAAGAAACACATGCTGGGCAATTAGGCCACAGTTAAACAATACAACAGTTTGAAGCAGACTCAAAGAGGGATCCAAATTCCCAAAGGATTTATAAAGCTTTTAGTCGTGAATGAACATCCAACTAAACCAAGATTCAAAGGAACGTTTCCTTCATTTTGGGAGATAGAAAAAAGAACATTGCATTAATACAAACAGATGGCGAATGGTGGAAATGAAAGAGCCAAACTGGAAACCCTTGGAAAACACACACGCGCACACACCACGCACAACTGAATAATGTCGACTGTAAGTAGAATGTAAAGAAATCGGTTGCAAAATGCTAATAATATAGTACGTGTGTCACATCTCTGAAAAATCAAAGAAAAAATAAACTGAAATGAATGTGTGAGATTTAAACCCTGTGAAACTGGAAAGCATGCAGAAGTCCCCTTCTAGTGTAGTTCACTCTTAGTAGACTAGAAACAACAGAGGTGCCCCTGAGTGGCGTTAGCCACCTGATCTCACTCCCTATACCTGGCGGTACAGAGTCCTCAACAGGAAGTCCTCTTCTTACCCTTATTCATAGTCCTTGGGAAGGGGTTATAGTGTCTCGATTGCCTTTGGAAGTGTGTGTGATTCTCCCTACAGCAAACTTGGTCGGTATGTTAGAGGTGTGTGAGGATCGTACGTATGTGTCGCGTCAGGGATCCAAAGTTTCCTGGCAGTGTTTATAAGGCTTGTGTTTTGAGCTCAATCGGCTCCCCTCGGGTCTCCTGCTGGGCTTCGGCCTCAGGAGGTCGGTTGCCCTTGAGCACAGCCAGTCGCTCGGACAGGCCAAGCATCCGGGGAAAGAGCATGAAGTCATAGAGCAGAGCGCCCATAGCACCGCCGATCATAGGGCCCACCCAGTACACCTACCAGAAAGTGAGAGAGATCAGATAGAAAATTGTTACATTTATGAATTAGTTAGCACAATGTTCCTTCATCTGAATACAATGGAAATATGCCTCACCCAATGGTTAATAAAGTTCCTAAAAAGCACAGCAGGGGCAAAAGACCTGGCAGGGTTCATTCCAGCTCCAGTGTAATACATCTGCAATGAAATTCATGTCAAGTCATGTCAAGTCGAATGTTTATAATATCTTAATATCTTCATGCCTTATAAGCACATTTAGCAGATTAGAGCTGGGCGATAATATAGTTTACTTTTTGAAATGATACAAGCATTCAAGAAGTTGAGATTTGCTATATAATATATTTCACAATACTGTATGTATACAGATAAAGTTGGACATACTTATATATCCACATTTATATAAAGAGCCGGGCAATAATATGAAGATATATACAAGAAAAATGCTTTTTAATATAGTGTGCAATTCATAAGTACATAAAAAGTAGTGTCAGTGATCTTCAAATGGTGGGTTTTGATCCAAAAATCGTACTGATAAAATCATGTCCAATAATATAAATGTAAAATTAAATAGGCTTATTAACTTTTTCAAGGGAGAAAATGTTCAAAGACGTCATTATACAAACTCTACAGTGTTTATCGTACTTGAAGAGATAGTTCACCCAAAAAAATGTAATTCTGTCATCATTTATTCACCAACATGTCGTTCCAAACCTGAATGACTTACTTTCTTCTGTAGAACACAAAAGGAGATAGTTTGAAAAATGTTCAGCCATTTTTGTCCATACAATGGAAGAAACAAAACAACACTGGACCCAACTGACTTTAAATGTATGCACAATAAGAGATTTTTTTAAGATCTCCTTTGCGTCACACAGAATAAATAAAGTCAAACAGGTTTGGAATAATTTGAGGGTGAATAAATGATGATGAAATTTCCATTTTTAGGTGAATTATCAATTTAAAACAGCTAATTACTGAAATAATATCTGGCCTAGTGTTTGTTCCATGTGTTAGGCAAGTACATTTTTCCACTCGGTCTATTTCATACGAAGAATTTTTGCAGCAACGTTTATTTGCAGGAGTTTTTGCTGACATTTTAGTGCTGTTTTGCATTGTAAAATGTGGGCCAATAGGCAAAACCAACAGAGAACCACTGATTTTAAGACTGAATCTCAGTCCTTTTGAATAGTCTCTTACCCCCAGCAGGTGGCCCACAAGCACTGAGAAGCCAATGGACAGGGCAGCAGACCCCAGTCGTCCATTTCGCCTCTCATCTGTCACAGCGAAGACCACGACCACGAGTTGCAGAGTCAGAAATATCTCTATGGTGGTGGCCATTCCCAGACTGATGCCTGGCTGAAGCTGAAAGCATATATACATACACTTTACAAAGAACTACCAACACTGACATTAAAAAATAGTTATCCAGATTCATTTATTGTACACTGTTTTATTTATGTGAAATGGTCTTCCTTTAATAGGTTCCCTGGTGATATTCTGACATCTCTATGGTTTCAAACATTGATCAGTCATTTTGTACCACTTGTAAACAAGGCATCATTTCAACTAATGAGCTCACTGAATCAAATACACCCTCTTACCGTGTTCAGGCCAAGATTGCCTCTCATATTGCTTGGTGTGACCCCATACAGCACACCGGCTCCAGCTAGCGCTCCAAAGCACTGAGCACAGATGTAGAAGAAAGCACGAAACAGTGACATCTGGGAGCTAATCAGGTAGGCGAACGTGACAGCCGGGTTGATGTGGCCACCGCTGATGTGGCCGATGGACTGGATAAGTGTGGCAGCTGCCAGACCGAAGCAGAAGGCAACTTGGAGCACGTTGTGTGGTCCAGTGGTCCAACGCAGAGCTGATCCCAGCCCAAAAAACACAAAGAACATGGTGCCATAGAACTCGGCAAACACAGCCCGCCAAAAAGACATGGACCGGAATTCCCACATGGCTGCGATAACTCAGAGGCGATGCCAAAAAATGGAGGGATATGAGTGTGAGAGGGAAAAGAACCTCCAAAAGAACCAAAAAAATAGCTTCTGGATGTGTTCCCTTTGATTTTTGTGGATGGACACAAAAAACAAAAAGCATAAATGCTTCTATAACCTACAGAGTTTGCGTGAAGAGCAGCCCTTCTTCACAAGCCTGAAATCATCTGTCCCGTTGATTTCTAACCAGTGGTTTTTGTCATAAAACATTAAGTGTGAAACTGACAGATGAGCTCTGCATCTATGTGAAAGTTCTAGATGATGTTTAATAAAAGATTACTAAAAGATAGACAAAAGATGAGCATGTCCTGCAGACATTAAACCTCTCTGATGGGAAAGCGAGAGGCCACATGGGTATTTATAACGACTGTGACTCTCAGTGACACTATAATCCTTTGGCAGAATTGTGGGAGGTGGCTGCAGACAATACGACAAATCAAATAAAAAAAAAAATTGAAACCCTTTTCTGTCCTGCTTTTCCTTTCAACTTACGGTCGTCACACTAAAGCTTAAAATAATGGCCGCAAATCTGCAATTGAGTGATGTTAAAAGTGTTAAACATATCTTGGTGGGAAATCTAATTTACAGTTATATAAACAAAATTATCTCAAACTGGAGGAGAAAGGGCAATAGTGTATTAATCAGACATGGGAACATGATAACATTTCCAAGAACAGCCCCTGAGGACAACTGTCTCATCCCAGCTCACGATAGGGGAACAGTGTTTAGGAACTGCCTCTTCTCTAGCCCCGGCTACAACACCAGGGCCCCTAAAAGGGTCTAGTGCCCTTCACAGTGTGGATTAAGGGCTGGCACAAAGAAACAATACCTCTCATACAACAGAAGGAGGCCTCACACAGATGTAACACAGAGTATCATAACTGACACTCCACATGCACAGGACAGAAGAGTCTATGGGTCTAATTTTTAGTTAAATATTATAAATGTGTGTGCATGCACAATGCATAAATATAATATAATATAAAATATAATATAATTTATCCAAAGCATCTGACTACATTTAAAACATTGAATGCAATGTAAAGTGCATATTATAATTATTATTTAAATGCTATATATTTATGTTATTATTACTAAATATATACTTAATATTTAATTTATTATTATATATTATTTTAATATATATATATATATACACACACACATGCACAATGCATAAATTGCCATAGAACTCGGCAAACACAGCCCGCCAAAAAGACATGGACCAGAATTCCCACATGGCTGCGATAACTCAGAGGCGATGCCGAAAAATGGAGGGATATGAGTGTGAGAGGGAAAAGAACCTCCAAAAGAACCAAAAAAAATAGCTTCTGGATGTGTTCCCTTTGATTTTTGTGGATGGACACAAAAAACAAAAAGCATAAATGCTTCTATAACCTACAGAGTTTGCGTGAAGAGCAGCCCTTCTTCACAAGCCTGAAATCATCTGTCCCGTTGATTTCTAACCAGTGGTTTTTGTCATAAAACATTAAGTGTGAAACTGACAGATGAGCTCTGCATCTATGTGAAAGTTCTAGATGATGTTTAATAAAAGATTACTAAAAGATAGACAAAAGATGAGCATGTCCTGCAGACATTAAACCTCTCTGATGGGAAAGCGAGAGGCCACATGGGTATTTATAACGACTGTGACTCTCAGTGACACTATAATCCTTTGGCAGAATTGTGGGAGGTGGCTGCAGACAATACGACAAATCAAATAAAAAAAAAAATTGAAACCCTTTTCTGTCCTGCTTTTCCTTTCAACTTACGGTCGTCACACTAAAGCTTAAAATAATGGCCGCAAATCTGCAATTGAGTGATGTTAAAAGTGTTAAACATATCTTGGTGGGAAATCTAATTTACAGTTATATAAACAAAATTATCTCAAACTGGAGGAGAAAGGGCAATAGTGTATTAATCAGACATGGGAACATGATAACATTTCCAAGAACAGCCCCTGAGGACAACTGTCTCATCCCAGCTCACGATAGGGGAACAGTGTTTAGGAACTGCCTCTTCTCTAGCCCCGGCTACAACACCAGGGCCCCTAAAAGGGTCTAGTGCCCTTCACAGTGTGGATTAAGGGCTGGCACAAAGAAACAATACCTCTCATACAACAGAAGGAGGCCTCACACAGATGTAACACAGAGTATCATAACTGACACTCCACATGCACAGGACAGAAGAGTCTATGGGTCTAATTTTTAGTTAAATATTATAAATGATATGGGAACATGATAACATTTCCAAGAACAGCCCCTGAGGACAACTGTCTCATCCCAGCTCACGATAAGGGAACAGTGTTTAGGAACTGCCTCTTCTCTAGCCCCGGCTACAACACCAGGGCCCCTAAAAGGGTCTAGTGCCCTTCACAGTGTGGATTAAGGGCTGGCACAAAGAAACAACACCTCTCATACAACAGAAGGAGGCCTCACACAGATGTAACACAGAGTATCATAACTGACACTCCACATGCACAGGACAGAAGAGTCTATGGGTCTAATTTTTAGTTAAATATTATAAATGTGTGTGCATGCACAATGCATAAATATAATATAATATAAAATATAATATAATTTATCCAAAGCATCTGACTACATTTAAAACATTGAATGCAATGTAAAGTGCATATTATAATTATTATTTAAATGCTATATATTTATGTTATTATTACTAAATATATACTTAATATTTAATTTATTATTATATATTATTTTAATATATATATATATACACACACACATGCACAATGCATAAATGTTTGTCAGATACTTTAATACAATGCAGTAATTGCAACAATTGCATTTAATATACAGAATGCAATGTAAATTGTATTGTATAAAAACATCTGCCAAATGCACAAATGTAAATATAACATAGCTGGTGTTATATAATATTTACAATGTTGTCAATCAGATGTTTGAGCAAACAATGAGGGCTTTGCCATAGCACCCCCTACCATGCTCAGGACAGAGCCAGTTGGTTCTGTGCAGAACTGATTAGGCAGAGTTTTACATTGTGTGTGCTGGCAGGACTGCTGGCCTGAGGCCCAGTAAAGCTCTGGAAAATCCACGCTTGGAGGCAGGAGGTGATAGTGGGGTGGGGGCAACACTGAGCCTCTTCTCTGGGCAATCATGATGAGCTATAGACTAGTGAAAGAATACTGATTGGCTTGTGTTTTTTGCTCTTTCATTTGGGATGAACCAAAATGCTGGCAGCAACAGTTTCTGTTGCCTTTTTTGATTAAAATGTTTTATGGTGCAGTTGGGCCGTTGTCTCAAATGATAGGAGATTTTATATGCAAATAGTACTACAGCATAAGAGGTCCTTTGCAAAACAGCAGCATGATAACTAGTCTGAAAGGTAAACCATGGGAAACTCACTTTTACTTTTTTAGTCAAGAATTTTAGGTGTGAATTATCTAGCAATTATTAACTGTTTCTATACTAATTCTAGGCATAAAAACACTCTCAGATAATAACAATATCGAATTGCAAGTCCTTTCAGTAATAATCTTATCAGTAATCATACTTCATTTTAAATTACCTCATTTAAGGTGAAGCACCTCCTAAATAAACAAAGTATCAAATATCTGTCATCAACATTCTCCAGTTTCATTAACCGACCAGGCCAGATGCATTTGCTTTGGAAGCAGGTGTTTGTAGTTGAGTTACAAGTCACGGTAGCTCTGCAAGGCCGGCTCAGAGTAACCAACTTTGTGTACATCCATTGTGGGCAGGATTACTCCACGCCACTGCCTGCTCATGTGTCCGTAAGCCGCCTTTTGTCGCACAGGAGAGACAGCTTAAACCCGCTTGCGTGAGGATTTTTCTATTACCTCTAGCACAGACTGCTGACACCAACACAACCCTCTCCGACCTCCCATACTGCCACGGTCTTAAACAAAACGCTTGCTCAGGAAACTCAACCCCATAAATTATTCCAGGAATACAGATCAACTGTTGATCAAAACATACAGTCCTTCCAGATACTATTCATCCATCATTATGACTACACCTGCTATATTAAGGAGCACCTGGTTTATACATATATATATATATATATATTTTATTTTTTTTTTTTTTAATATATACCCAACCCCATC